TAAGCTTGTTCTAAGTAGGTGCTTTAGACCACTGCACCATCTCACCAGCCCCTGTTATCAAGTTTAATTAAATATTTTTATAAATTTATTTGTAGAGTTTTATTATGGTAAGTAAAAAAACTCTAAGAGAAATAATTTTTATTTTCATAATCCCACTTATCCCCATAATCTCATTTGTAATTTATTAATGGTGGATAACAAATAAATTATTCTGCATCTTGATTATCTAGGTTGTAGTCAAATTGAACCAGATTGAAAAAAATGTAAAGTAATGTACTGTGATAGACTTTGTAGAAAAGCTATGCACTGGCCAGTTTTTGTCCCTTACAGAAACATAATACCTCATGCGTGACACCTCCCACGCACTCGGGTCTGACCCGGTCCTCTCCTGTGGTTTTCCATAACCCACAGCTGTAACTGGGGGGAGGATATCTCTGCCGATGCCTGAGGCTCCTTTCATGATTGCAGTAACCTTGTCGTCCTACTTGTATAGCTTGATGATGAACGGATGGAGCAAATGTCAAATATGACTTTGATGAAGGAGACCATAACCACTGTGGAAAAAGAAATGAAATCACTAGCAAGAAAAGCAATGGATACTGAGAGTGAACTTGGCAGACAAAAAGCAGAGAATAATTCTTTGAGGTAAGTGAAATAAACAGTTTACCTTAACTGATAGCTCTGCTTTTTGTTATATATTTTATAATAAAAATTTATTGAATATAATTTCTGGAAGGATTGTTATGAAGCAATTTTAGAAACCTCAGGACATATTGAACAATTTCTCTTAAGAACATCACAGACTGGTAATGGTCCACTTAATTAGAAAGTGTATTTCTAGTAATCTTAACTATACATTTGCAGAATTCTTCAGGTGTAACTGAAATAGCTTTTACAAGCCCCTTCTGAATACTAAGCATATTTGAGTTTAATTTACTTTATAGCTTTAAGTTCTCTTTTGGGATGTTAACAATATAAGAAAAGACAGGTTAGAAAAGAGGTGGTTTAGGGCATAAATAAAAGTCATAGCAGAAGCTGGATGTGGTAGTGCAAACCTATAATCCCAGCACTTGAGAGGCTGAGACAGGAGGGTCACTGTGAGTTCAAGGCCAGCCTGAGCTGCATAGTGAGACCCTATCTCAAAAAGACAAAAATAAATAATAAATAAATGTCATAGCAGAGAAATAGGTGCATGTAGTGGAATTTCTGCTAATTGTATGCAAAGTATGTTGTTTAACCCTTCCTATATGCTAGTATAGAAGCAGAAGAAATACCAATTAAAACAGCCTACAGGCAGTAAACGTGCAGGAATATATTCTTGGACAATATGAATGTTTGTCATTTAACTGTTAGCATCTGTTGATGTGAGGAATAGAGGTCCTATAAGTTCAGTGAGGTTGAATTGATGAATCTGTGAACATTTGAGAAATAGGATTTCATATTGTTGTTTTGTTTTTGTGGTACTGGAAATTGAACCCAGGATCTCACACTGATCTACATCCCTAGTAGCTCTTTATAATTTTTTGAGTCAGGGTCTTACTAATTTACCTAGGCTGGGTTCATCTAGCAGTCCTTCCTCAGCCTTCTAGAATGCTGGGATTATAGGAATTTACCACCATGCATGTCTGAAAAATAGTAGTTCATCTGAGTGAAATCTGTTACTAGTCTGCAACTAACGTTTGGTTCTTGTGTGCATTCTCAGAGTTCTCCTTGACCATTGCAGGGCCTGTGGTGCACAGGTGCAGGCACTTGTCAGGACAGCTCATTCCAGTTCTTTTCCTTCATTGTTAAAACATTGTACTGCTAATGAGAATATTCTAAGGTCAGGTGAAATTAAGGTAATAATAAAGTGGAACAACAATAACCAAAAAACTTAGAAAATTGAGAAAATCATGAGGAAAATTTAAATCATTTGTTATTCCATATCCCAGGGAAAAATAATAATATAAACTGTTTCTGACTAGAAATTTGTCTGTCTGTATATATGATGTTAGTTTTCATGTGAGTAGGATTGGCCTGTATAATTTTGTTTGGTCAGTTTCATTTAACTATGTACCATAAACATTTTTTCATGTTATTAGATGTTCTTTGAAAGACTTTTTTATAGTATAATATTCTAGCAGAGAGATCTATATTAATTTTAGAGATTTTTTTGATGCCCATTTATTTTGACAGATTTATTGACATATAATCAGCACACTGTACAATGTGAAAACTTTCAATGTAGTCACAGAATAATTTTGAGATTTATTGATGTTATATATATTACATATATATGTATATATTTAATCATCCTGTGTGATAGCTGAATAGTGTTCTGTTGTATGGATATAGAAGTAGACATTAGGGTTGTTTCCAGTTTTGGGCTATGACATATAAACTTGCTAAGAACGTTCCTACACAAGTCTTTTTGTGGGTATATGTTTTTGTTTCTCTTGGGGAATACATTGGAATATATTTCACTTTTGAGTAAACTGTTAAGTTCTCTGTCTCCTTGTCCCTCACCCCTTTCCTTTATTCCTTTCTCTTACCCTCTCCCTCTCCTCCTGCTCCCTAGTGGCTGTAATGTAGTGCATGTGCTATTTTTTTTTTAATTTTATTTATTTATTTATATGTGTGGGGGGGGGCCAGCTCAGCCCACCAGGGGGCGGGGCTGGCTGGCATGTGGTGCTGGGGGATTGAACCACGGTCCCTGTGTTTTGCTAAGCTTGTTCTAAGTAGGTGCTTTAGACCACTGAGCCATCTCACCAGCCCCGCATGTGCTATTTTATTTTACATTTTTAACAGCCATGTATGAGTGTTTCAGTAGTTATATATCCTCACCAAGGTATGTTAGCTTTACCTTTTCTAATATATATATGTATATATATATATATATTATTATTTTAATTTATCATTTCCTAATGTTTAATGATTTTGAGCACCTGTTCATGTGCTTATTTGCTATCTGTGCATCTTTTGTGATATATCTGCTAAATCTTTTATATTACTGAATTATGTTCATAAAATTATAAGTTTCCATATTTTATGTAAATATTTGTCAGATATATATTTTGGAAATATTTTGTCTCATTCTGTGGCTTGCCTTTCTACTATCTTAACAGTATCTTTTTAAAAAGCAAGTGTTTTTAGTGAAATTTATTGAATTTAATATATTTGTAATCCTGTGTTTCATGTTTTTTTAAAGAAATCTTTGTGAATCCTGAAATGATTAAGATTTTCTCCCATAGTTGCTCTTAGCACTTTTATAGTTTTAGCTCTTGTATTTAGCTGTAGGGATCAGGGAGGTAGCTTAGTAGAATAAGCACTTGCCTGGTAAGCACAAAGGCCTGAGTTCAATCCCCAGTTCTGAAAAAAAAAAAAAAAAAAAAAAAAAAAAAGATACTTTCAATTTTTGTATGTGGTGTAACATGTAAGTGGTGTTCCACTTTTTTCCATGAGGGTGTTTAATTGTTCCAGGATTATGTGTTGAAAATACTTACCTTTCTTCACTGAATTGCCTTGTTCTGTGTAGGTCAGTTGTCTGTATATGTCTTCTCTCCCTCCCTTTCTCTCTGCTTTCCCTCCTTATTTTGCTCCTTCTTTTTTATGGTTAAAAAATAACATGAAATATATTCCTTCAATTTTTAGATGTGTTGCATAATATTAGCTGTTGAGGAGATCTCTGTAACTTTTGCCTTCTGTAGAACTGACCTGTCTACATCCATTGATAATAGATGCTGCCCCTTCTCCTTAGCTTCTGGCCACAGCCCTTCCAACTTCCTGCTTTTGAGTTTACCTTTTATATGTGGGATATTATACAGTATTTGTCCTTGTGTGATGATTTTGTTTCACCTGTTATACAAGTGATATTCTCTAGGGTCATCCATGATGTAGTATCTGACAGAATTTCCTTTGTTTTAAAGACTGAATAATATTTCATTGAATATCTTACACTGCATTTTCTTTATCTCTCATCTGTTGAAGGACATATAGATTATTTTCACCTCTTAACAACTGTGATTAATGCTGATGTGAGTGTGGGAATGCAGATAATGTCTTCAAGGTCCAGATATACATTCTTTTAAATAAATACTCAGCAGTGGGAATGTTGGGTCATAGTAGTTCCATTTTAATTTTGAAAAAATTTTCACCATTATTGAGGCATAGCTGTTGAATAAAAATTGTATATATTTAGCCAGGGAAATAGCTAAGTGGCACAGTGCCTGCCTGGCAAGCATGAGGTCCTGAGTTTGATTCCTGGTACAAAAAAAAAAAAAAAAAAGAAAGAAAAGAAAAGAAAAAAATGTATATATTTAAGGCATACTATGTGATGTTTTTATATATAAATATTATGAAATGATTAATCAGCTTAATTGATGTACCTATTACCTCACACCGTTCCTTTTTTATTTTATTGTAGTTAGACTATTAAAATCTACACTTGAAAATTTTTTTTAAATTACATTTTAATTTAATAGATCCACATACTTGATCTATAATACTCTTGAAAAATTTTAAGTGTATGGCATACTATTATTAACTATATTCAGCATACTTAGGTCTCCAGAAGCTTTTTATCCTAGAACTTGAAGCTTTTACCCTTTGCCCAATTTTTACCCATCTCCTTATTTCTCCTATGAATCTCAGCCATCAGTAACCACTTCCCTAGTGTTTTTGAGCATGGCTTTTTAAAGATTCCACTTATAAGCTGTATCATGTAATATTTGTCTGTGACTTATTTCACTTAGTATAATGTCCTCCAGTTCCACCCATGTTGTTGTACATGGCAGGGATTCTTCCATATTGATGACAGACTTTCCATTGCATGTGATGTACTAGAGTTGCTTCATTCATTCATTCATGCATTGATGAACACATAGGTTGTGTATCTTGGCTTTTCTGAATAATGCTGCAATGAACATGGGAGTATATATTTCCCTGTAAGATGATCATATGATAGTTGTATTTTCAGTCTTCGAAGCACATTCCTAATTTGTCCACAATGGCTATACTAATTTACATTCCCACCAATAATGTGAGAGGTTTTTTTTTCTCTACGTCCTTGTCAAAACTTGTCTTTTGATACTAACCATGCTTGTGTGAAGTGCCATCTCCTTGTAGTTTAGATTTGCATTTCCAGATATTTAGTGATGTCAAGTACCTTTCTTATACTTGTTGGCCATTCATCCATCTATCTATCTATCTATCTATCTATCTATCTATCTATCTATATCTTCCTTGGAAAAATGGCTGTTGTAAGTCTTTGGTTAATTTAATTTTATTTTATTGAGAAACATATCAATGAGACAATTTCAAAGCTGATTAATAGGACAGTTTCAATAATTAATACATTGTATATTGTTATCTTCTTAGTGGTTGTCCATAGTACAAGAAACTATGGCAGAATATCCTGTCTGAATACTATTAGTACAAATTTTTCTTCTCACTGAATTAAGCAAAAGTAGCTGTATATCTATCCTAACTATTCTGTATATACAAATACAGAATGGTCCTTCCTTTGCATCTCCTTTTTTTGTTTAGTCCTGTCAGAGATGGGTATTCCATTGGCATCTAAGGACTATAGGTGCATGAATTCAGCAAAATAATCCAACACAGTCCAGCAGTCTACAACAGTACTGAGTTATCCGTAGAAGTTGTTGACT